CACACACACACACACACAAGAAATAAAGGGAATGGCTGAACCTGCTGGTCCCTGAGTTCCCAAATATTACAGTCAACCCCAAAGACAATTGCGCCACCAGTCATCAGAGCTTGGGCTGTACACAATGAGATGTTTGTTCCCAGCCTCATCCCTATAGGCTGTACTTGCTGCTATAATTACAGATTTTAGTTAAGTAGTGTGTTGTAGGATACAATATTAGGAGGAAAGAAAGTTGTTTCTATAAACAACTAATAGCTAACTCAGGAGACTGAGATCAGAGGATCACCGTTTGTAGCCAGCCCAGGCAAACGAATCTGAGAGACTCTTTATCTCCAAGTAGTCATCAAAAACCAGAAGTGAAGCTATGGCTCAAGTGGTAGAGCATCAGCCTTAAACATGAGAGCTAAGCTGGAGTACAAGGCCCTGAGTTCAAGCCCCAGCAACTGTACAGGTGCCAGTGGCTACACCTGTAATTCTAGTAATTTAGGATTGAAGTTCAAAGCCAGCGCAGGCAGGAAATTCCATGAAACTCTTCTCTCCAATTAACCAACAAAAAGCTGGACATGGGTCAAGTGCTGGAAGTTTATGCTTGTAATCCTAGCTATTCAGGATCTGAGGTTCATGGTTTAAAGCCAGCCCAAGCAGGAAAGTCCTTGAGACTCTTATCTCCATTAAACCACTCAAAAACTAGAAGTGGTGCTGTGGCTCAAAGTGGTAGATCACTAACTTTGGGTAAAAGCACTCAGGGAAAGCCGGGCGCTGGTGGCTCACGCCTGTAATCCTAGCTACTCGGGAGGCTGAGATCTGAAGATCGAGGTTCAAAGCCAGCCCGGGCAGGAGAGACCGTGAGACTCCGATCTCCAATAAACCACCAGAAAACCGGAAGTGGCGCTGTAGCTCAAGTGGTAGAGCGCTCGCCTTGAGCTGAAGAGCTGAGGGACAGCGCCCAGGCCCAGAGTTCAAGCCCCACAGCCGACAAAAAAAAAAGCACTCAGGGATAGTGCCCAGGCCCTGGGTTCAACACTCCCTCCCCTAAAAAAAAAAAAAAAAAAAGCTGGACATGGAGCTGTGGCTCAAGTGGCAAAGTACTTGAGGAAAAAAAAAGTTCAGGGATAGTGTCTAGGCCATGAGTTCAAGCCCTAGGACTAGAAAAAAATTGAAGCCCCAAGAAAAGGAGAAGAAACAAAGGAAGATCAAGCGAGTCACTCTAGAATGTCTTAAAAAAAAAAAAAAAACTTACCTGTTTCTGTTCCTCGTATGCTGCTCAAGCTCCCTATGCCCCGTGGAAGTCAGGGAATATTCTAGAAGTGTATGCATCAGGTACAGTCCCTACAACCAACTCGGCAGCTCTCAGGAGAGCAGAGAGGAGCTTCCCACCTGCCCCTACTACCTAACTCACCCCCAATCCCTTTTGCTGTTTGTCCTGCTCCGTGGCCATCACCTCCTCTCTGATCAGGGCCGCACACATTATCCCGGAAGTTTTTTTAAGTGCACTTCCTCAACACCTGAAATAGACGCTTTGATGTCTGGCCAAGCCCTTCTGGGAATTCTTATCTCTATACAAGAGAGGGATGCGTATGAACAGCTTGGCTTTCTAGGCCAGCCAGGTACCCATGTTCATTTCCAGGGCTCCACGGTTACCATGACAATAGCAAGCTTCCTCCCAGATGCGGGAACAGCAGTCTGGAACCGGGAGGGGTAGGCAGTCCTCCCCCCACCCCCCACCCCACCCCACCCTCCACCTGGTGGCTCTGCCTGGCCGCCTCAAGTCAGGTAAAGCAGAGGGACTGGAGAAGGAGGAGGTTGTTAGACAGGGGTCCTGGGGGGGCCTCGTGGCCAGCCTGAGTCACTGTCCCCGCTGGGAAGTCACATTAGTCACAGCTTTCAGAGGCTGTGATCTCAAACTGCATATTGAGCACCTGGGCTGGTCTCCATGTCAACAGGACCATATTTTTAGGCAGGAGTGGGCGGCTTCTCCAGCTGATCAGGAGAGCTGGGCTGGGAAACTACCATGGCACAGCTGGGGAGGGGCAGATGGGTCTCACGTCTGCATAGCGCCTGCCTCAAAGTCTCTGAAGGCCCCTGAATGCCGGCAGTTAGAAATGTTGAGACTAAGCAGGAAAAGGGGTGCTGTGTATAGGGTTGGGGCCTCCAAGAAGGCTCCAGGGACTCTCTTCTCCTGGCAAGCCTGGGGGGGTGGGGAGGGGGCTTGCCTGCCCACTGTGAGCCAAGGCTGATGTGTGTGGCCAGGAGCACAGCACAGCACAGATGAGGTCTGTGTGACTTTCCTAGAGGGATAGAACACTTGGCACTCTTGAACGGAGCATGGGTGGGAGGAGTCCATTCATGGAAGGAGCCAGCTGCCATATTGTGAGGACACTCAATCAACTGCATGGAGAAACCCACATGGAGAAGAGCTGACATCCCTGGCCAGTAAGACACTGAAGAAAGAGATGCCCCAGCTACCGCCCTCAAACACTACAGCCCACATGTACCACAGCCCTCAGGTACTACAGCCTCAGACACTACAGCCCACACGTACCACAGCCCTCAGCTAGCACAGCCCTCCAGATACAACCCTCACAGCACCTTGACTGAAATCTTAAAAGACACTATAGCTAGACTCACCCATCTAAGCTGTTCTTAAAGACTCTTGACTCAAACCATGATGCCATTTGGCCTTTAATAAACTAATGAGCCAGGCACCACTGACTCACACCTGTAATCCTAGCTACTCAGGAGGCTGAGATCTGATGAGCAAGGCTCAAAGCCAGCCCAGACAGGAAAGTCCATGAGACTTTTATCTACAACTAACCACCAGAAAACCAGAAGTGGCGCTGTGGCTCAAGTGGTAGAATGCTCACCTTGAGCTGAATCTCTCAGGGACAGTGCCCAGGCCTAGAGTTCAAGCCCCAGGTCTGGCCCAAAGAGAAAAAAATGAAAGAACTAAGGAAGGAAGGAAGGAAGGAAGGGAGAGAGGGAGGGAGGGAGGAAAGAAGGGCGGGAAGAGAGAAATAAAGTATTTAAAAAGAAAAAAAGCATTCTGCATCTTTGGGGGGGGCAGTATTGGGGTTTGAATTCAGTGCCTTGCATTTGCTAGGCAGGTCTCTACCACTTGAAGCATATAGATATAGATATATAGATAAACACATGTATGTATGTATGTATGTATTTTAAATACAAAGTACTGTTCCCCCCAAATGACTTGCCCTGGAAATAAGGGGTATTCATGTGTGAATTGTAGCACAGTGGTGAAAATGAATTTGACACCATGAGGCCATCATCAGCCCAGTACACCCACAAGGGGTCCCCCAACCCCTCCAGGAGGCCTGCATGTGTATAAGGGGCAAGTGGTCACAGGGACAAAAAGCTGCAAGGCTGAGCTGGGAGGAGAGGAAGCTGGGGGTGAGGAGAGCATGGACAGGCAGGGCTTGCTTCAAATTGTGGAGTTTGGTTTTTCCGGAGCCATAGATGGAAGGCTCCACCTCTGCCAGCAAGAAACACTGCTGCTGTTTCTTAGAGATGCAGAAGGTGTTTTGTTTTGCTTTGCTGTGCTTTGCATAATGGACACATTTCCCAGGCCAGCCCCTTTCTGGGTTCTTTGTCATGTGTCAAGGCAAGTTGTTTTTTTTTAAGTCCTTGGTAGGCCGTGGGGAGGCAATTTCCATGTAATACAGAATGTTTAGGATGGAAAAAGCTAACTTTTCAATGTCGCTTCAGGGACCATATTTTGTGCATTCAACACAGCTGAATGCAGACGAAGTCAAGGAAGAAATTAAGTGCAATCTCCTGACAAGGGGATTCGCTGGAGGGATGCCAGTGAGCTACTGCCCCCTGGTGTTCAGACACGGTGGCTTGTGGGGTTTCTTCCCAGCGCATCTTAAAAACCCCTAAACCAAAGCTTGCAATCTGGCAGACCCCATCGCCAGCAGGAAGACCTAACTACTGTTTAAAAATCTGGAAGGCAGAACATAAAAAGAGGTTGGCTGTAATGGCGCACACCTGTAATCCCAGACACTCAGAAGAAGCCTCTAGAGTTTGTTCCCGGGGTTTCAAATTCAAGGCAGTGAATTTGAGTACTGGAGACTGAACTTTGGCAGGAACTCTACCGTTTGGGCCATGTCTCCGGTCCCCCCCCCCTTTTTTTTGCCTTGTTATTTTGAGGTTGGGTCCTCCCCCAACACACGCCTCCCCACCTTCCCAGGCCTAGACCACTGCTCCCGGCTATTCAGTGAGACGCCGTCTGGGGGATGCTTGTGCCCTGGCCGGCCCAGAGCCGGGCCGTCCCTATCTCCACCGCCCTGGCGGCCAGGATCACGGGCTGGGGCCACGGCAGGCTGTGCTGCGCGCGCTGGGAGATGAGGCGGCTGGAGGGCCGAAAGCCTCCTGCAGATCCCGAGCTCGAAGACTACAAGTCCGGTGGGCTGGATCTGAGCCCAGGGCCCGCCATGCCACCAGCGTGGAGCACGGCGTTTCCGGGGCACGCCCTCCGCACAGGCCGCGTTTCAGGATGCGTGGGCTTCCACGACGGTGAAGGGCAGCTCTCCCAGAGGGGGTGGAGCTGTGGCTCGAGTGGTACAGCTCCAGCCTTCAGCGAAAAAGCTCAAGGACCAGGGGTTCGGGCCCTGGGCTCAAGCCCCAGGACCGGCGCCAGCGCAGATGCGAGGATCGCGGGCCCGACACCTTGCGCGCCCCCAACTCTGCACCCACAAGGGATTCGCACACCTGCTCCGCCCGCCTGTGACCCGGGCCACGCCCCTCCGCTGTTGATTGGCTGCTGCCGGGCACGAGACCCGCGCCAACGACAACCAATGGGAGTGGCCCACGGCGGGCTTTTCCCGGGTTAGCCGACGCGGACGGCAGAACCCGGAAATGCCGGGGATGGACAGGTGGGGGAAACCAATCCACTGCGACGAGCGTAGCGGATTGTCCAATGGGAAGTCTCCGGGGGCGGAGTCTCCACAAGGCCGGCGGTGTGGAGAAGGTCCTGGTAGTGGCGGGGGGAGAGCCGGCCGGCGCGGAGCCTGCGAGTGTGGGGAGCGCGGCCGGAAGGCCCCGCAGCGGCGCGCGGTGAGGCGGGGGGTGAGGCCCGCGGGGCTCCGAAGGGCGCCGTGGGGCCGCGAGCCCTGGGCGGGGTTCGCTAAGTCCGGGTCTGCTGAGTGGCCTTCCCGCGGTCCCTCCGCCCCTCCTGGCCTCAGTTTCCCCCTCCCGCGCACCCCCGGCACCGGGGAGCCGGCTGTCCTCCGTGCTTTGACGGGCAGGAGAGGCGAAGCCTCCGGGGGCCCCGCCTCAGGATGAATCTGGGACCCCAGACCCCAGATCCTTCCTGCCCTCCGCGCCCCCCTCCCCTTCTCCTGGAACTGAACTTACCGGCCGGGCCTTGATTTCCCTCACCTGCAGCGTGGAGTTATGGGTAGCTCTTCCTCCTCATGGTGGTGTGAGTTAAGATCTGGGGAGACGAGAGGTGTGCCCAGCTCAAGTGTCCAGCACCCCCATAGTTGCCCAATAAATGCTTATTGTTGGCACAATGGTGCTTGAAAACTCTGCCCTCCTCCACCCCCCCTGCCCGTCCCCACACTCCGTGCCTTTGGTCAGTCGTGCTGACCCAAGGCCTGACTTCCTTTCCAGATGCTCCACTGCCTGGTCTCTCAGCAAGATCCCTGAGGGGCAGGCCAGGGAAGGAAGGTTGGAGGGAACAGCACTGTGAGCACCGAGGCTGAATCAGGGTCACGGGAGGAAGACAGCCGCCATGCTGCAGCCACTGCTAATGTCCTAGAGAACCGCCATGGTGGATCTGTGTTATCTGGGCATCAAATGCCAGGTTTTAAGGGCTCAGAGATGGTGGTTGAGGTGCTTTCAAGCTGTAGAATTCCAGAGTTTGTGTCCTCAGGCTCTCTCTTGGTGACTTTGGCAATTCACTTCTGCCAGCCTCAGTTTCCCCTTGTAGAGCATGAAAATCAGATCAGCACCCCCTGCTCAGGCTGTTTAAGGTGGTGAGAGATAATAGGTCTGAGGTGGTACTTAGTGTTTAGTGCCAGACCTGGCACTAGGTACTGCACCTCGCCCACCGCAGCATGAGTTTTCCGTCACACCAGTCCTTGCAGGCTGTGAGAGCTAGGCCTGGTCCCTGAGGAATCAGAAGGCATTGGGGGGGAGGGGGGGTCGTCCAGAGCAGCCCTCCCCACCTGTCCTCTGGAACGGATCCATTTCTGTTTCTGCCTCTACAACTTTCCATTCCTTGCAGGTCCTGCTGTTACCCAGCCCACCTGACATGTGCAGGGGGGCCCACCCCTGAATCCAGATGACGCTCATGCCGATGGCGTCAGTGATGGCGGTGACCGAACCAAAATGGGTCTCGGTCTGGGGCCGTGTCCTGTGGCTGACACTGCTGAGCATGGCCCTGGGGTCGCTGCTGGCCTTGCTGCTGCCGCTGGCGGCAGTGGAGGAGCGCTGCTTGGCTGTGCTCAAAGGCTTCTACCTGCTCAGCAGCAAACTGGACAGGGCGCAGCACGCCACCACCAAGCGCACCAGCCTGTCCACGGAGCTCAGCGTCACCTCCAGGGACTCGGGGCTGTTAGTGGTCAAAACCAAGGCATCTCCAGGTAAGGCAGAATGCTTTTTTCTTTTGTGCTATTGCTGGGGCTTGAACTCGGGGCCTTGTGCTCTCACTTGGCTTTTTCACTCAAGGCTGCCGCTCTCCCACTTGAGCCACAGCTATACTTCCAGCTTTTTGGTGGTTAATTAAAAGTAACAGTGTTGCCGGGCGCTGGTAGCTCACCCCTGTAATCCCAGCTACTCAGGAGGCTGAGATCTGAGGATTGCAGTTCAGAGCCAGCTTGGGCAAGAAAGTCTGTGAACCACCAGAAAACTAGAAGTGGTACTGTGGCTCAAGTTGTAGAGCATTAGCCTTGAGTTGAAAAGCTCAGGGACAACAAACAGCCCGAGAGTCCAAGCCCCACCACCGACCAAAACATATAATAATAACAGTGTCTTGGATAGCTTCTAAGATCCTCAAATCTCAGCATCCTGAGTAGCTAGGATTACAGGCAGGAGCCAGGGGTACCCAGCGTAATGCTTATTAAGAAGAAAGATGTTTGCAGAGGTCCTGCTGGGTCCTGTGAGCAGGGCCCAGGGGAATTGTGGTGAATAAGTCAGCCCTGAGCTCCCAGCTGAGACGAGCTGAATGGTGAGCAAGCCATAGATAGCATCACGGGGGTAGGGGAAGCACAAAGGACCGGAGGTGGCGTATGCATTGGGTCCCTGCCATGAGTGGGCATGGTGCAGGGTGAAAGGCCGCAGAGTCCTCAAGATGTGGATATGTGGATGACCCGCTGTGAAAAGAGGGCTGCATCCATAGCCAGGTGCCTCCAACCCCTACATCCTGAAAGAGGGGGGGCCTGAGGCACCCCTGCCTCAGCCCTCAGATGCTCAGCACGCACCTCCCCCAGTGTAACAAGCAAGCGCGACCGCAGACCACCAGAGGACACCTTCCCACTGTGCACAAAATGCAACCATTGAAACAAACAGCCCAGACAGCCAGGTGCTTATGACTCACGCCTGTCATCCTAGCTACTCAGGAGGCTGCGATCTGAGGATCACAGTTCAAAGTCAGCCTGGGAAGAAAGGCCTGTGACATTCTTGTTTCCAACTAACCAGCAAAAAGCTGGACGTAGAGGTGTAGCTCAGGTGATGAGAGTGACAGCCTTGAGCAAAAAAGCTAAAGGACAGTGCCTAGGCCCGGGGTTCAAGCCCTAGTATTGGCACACCAAGGAAAGGAACAAAGGGAGGGAGGGAAGAATAGGAAGGGGAGACAGAGAGAAAGATAGAATGTCCAGGGATGGTGACCCAGACACTAGGCTGAATAGCAGCACCCCTAGGCCCGGGATGGGATGAGCAGCCGAGGTAGGAGAGCTCACCTGTTGGAGCTATGGGCCTGGGACAGTAACACAGTGGGAAAGGGACAGGACACTTAATGCCAAGCCCTCGGCATGGTCCCAGCGGAAGACAGGCCCACTGGGTTCCCACCGGTGTGCAGGGAATGGCTGGGGCCGTGGGAGCGTGGCTGGGATGTGGACTGACCAGGCCTCTGGCTGTCTCCTAGCAGGCAAGCTAGAAGCCAGAGCAGCTCTGAACCAAGCGCTGGAGATGAAGCGTCAGGGCAAGCGGGACAAAGCACGCAAGCTCTTCCTGCACGCCCTCAAGATGGACCCGCATTACGTGGATGCCCTCAACGAGCTGGGCATCTTCTCAGAAGAGGACAAAGACATCATCCAGGCGGATTACCTGTACACCCGGGCTCTGACCCTCTCCCCCTTCCACGAGAAGGCGCTGGTCAACCGGGAGCGGATGCTGCCGCTGGTGGAGGAGATCGACCAGCGGTATTTCAGCACCATCGACGGCAAGGTCAAGAAGCTCTTGTCTATCCCCAAGGACAGCTCTGCGCTGCGCCGTGTCCTGGAGGAGACGTACTACCATCACATCTACCACACGGTGGCCATCGAGGGCAACACCCTCACGCTGTCGGAGATCAGACACATTCTGGAGACCCGCTACGCCGTGCCGGGCAAGAGCCTGGAGGAGCAGAACGAGGTGATCGGCATGCATGCCGCCATGAAGTACGTCAACACCACACTGGTGTCACGCATCGGATCCGTCACGGTGGACGATGTGCTGGAGATCCACCGACGGGTGCTGGGGTACGTGGACCCGGTGGAAGCCGGCAGGTTTCGGAGGACCCAGGTATTGGTGGGACATCACGTGCCTCCCCATCCGCGCGAGGTGGAGAAGCAGATGCACGAGTTCCTGCAGTGGCTCAACTCGGAAGACGCCATGAACCTGCACCCGGTGGAGTTCGCCGCCTTGGCTCACTACAAGCTGGTGTACATCCACCCGTTCATCGACGGCAACGGCAGGACCTCTCGGCTGCTGATGAACCTCATCCTCATGCAGGCCGGCTACCCGCCCATCACCATCCGCAAGGAGCAGCGCTCCGAGTACTACCACGTGCTGGAGGTCGCCAACGAGGGCGACGTGCGTCCCTTCATCCGCTTCATCGCCAAGTGTGCCGAGAGCACCCTGGACACGCTGCTCCTCGCCACCACCGACTACTCCGTGGCACTGCCGGAAGCCACGCCCAACCATTCGGGGTTCAAGGAGACACTCCCCATCCGGCCCTGACCCTCAACGTCGTTTTTTTCTCCCTAGGTGAAGAGGGAACCAAAGAAAATGCCATTTCTAGAAAACCTAGTTCTGCAAAAACAGACCTTTAAATAATCTTTATCTCCAGATGGTTTTTTCTGTTGTTGGTGGGTTTTGTGTTTTTAAGTTAAAAAAAAGTTAAGTTATATATGTCCTCTAAGGTAATTTATAATCCAGTGATGTTATTTATTTGCTTCTTTGGAGTGAGCTACCTATGGGAGGGGGGGGGCCTTTGTGGCCATGCTGGTAGCAGCTGTGGGTGATCAGGACACAGGTTGTGGGCAGAATTTGCACTAAGGACAGGGCGGGAGGCAGAGCCGTGGAGTGGAAGGAACCCCAGGTTTCTGTCTGAAATGGTCCTGTGGTGGTTAGAACCAGAAAGCAAGCCGTGCTGGGGAGAAGCGAGCTCATCTGCTCGCCGAGATTTCTGCCTCCCCATCCAGATGGCTCTGGTGGCTTTCCCGCCTCTCCAGACCGGAAGTGAATGCAAACATTTGCATTCGATGCCTTACTCATTTCCTAGGAGACCTTTGAGCCATGTGAGTGCCAGAAGCTATTATTTTCATAATGAGACTATTTTTCTAATTCAGAGGAAGGCGGCAGCTTTGGTTTTGTTTCCCTTACATTTCATTTGTAGTAGCTCAAACCAGAAGCTTCTTTTAGTGTAAAAGTTCTCTGGGCTGGTTCCCCAGTAACTGCAGTGGGTTCTTGACCTACAAATGGAAGGATCTGGCAGGCAGGGGGCTGGGATCAAGGCCCTGGATCTCATCCCCAGCACTTCCAAGAAAAAAAAAAGGCAGGGGGTGGGAGGGTTGAATTGTGGCTCAGTGGTATTGTCCCTGCCTGGCAAGTTCAAAGTCTAGTACCACTGCCCATGGCTCACATATAGTTCCAGCCAAGCAAACCAAACAAGTGGAAGGTCCTAAGTAACTTCTTGTTCCTAAATTAGAGCCCAGGAAGTATCTGTGACCAGAGGCAGAGTGTGTGTGTGTCCCTTCGGACCCCATAGTTACTCTTCTTACCCCAGCTACTCTACTGTCCCAGCATCCCCTGGGGGCAGCAGACAGGGCCTCAGCCAGCCTTGCTTTTCTAGTAACTTTTCTTGCTAAACAACACAGTGTCCTGTGTCAATGTGTCCTGTGTCACCTTAGGACAGTCGTATGGCACACGTGTCAACTGGCTGCTACTTAGACCTGGAAATTACAGAGTCCTTCCCCACGGGCCAAGTGGCGGTGTCTGCACCAGGCTGGTCTTCCGTCAGCACTGGGTGCTGCCATACTTGGTTTGAGATATGCTGTTGACAGTCAAGCGGTCCTGCCCTGACGAAGCAAGTGTTTGTAAAGTGAATTGTGCCACTGACACACTCAGCCTGTTTGTGATGTTCCTCAGTGCTGTCAGCCTGTTGTCTGAAGATCAGGAAAGGTGAGAAGAGGTGGGCCCTCGAAGCTGGAAGGAAGCACTGTGCCTCGGTCTCCTGTGCAGGAAGCGGGATTTGTCTTGGTTTCTCACACCAAGAGGGCTTGGGGCTTGCTCGCCGAGTCCCGGTGAGAATCTGCACTTTAGCTATGTGTGAAGGGTATTGTTTTAACAAATTACTGATTCTAATAAAGTATTTTATTATGTACACGTCTGAGATTTGTCGTCTTACTTGAGCATTTGTCCCAAGGGAGATGTGGAACTGTCAATCAAGCGGACAGCTTGCACCCGGCGTGGAGGCCCACTCGTGAGCTCCGCTGAGGCAGGCCAGACCGCGCTGGCGGGAGGCAGTGCTCCCGGCTCCCCTGGGTCTGGGCCACCGCCCACTTGCCAGCAGACACAGCCCCTGAGGAGCGGGTGGCACGGCCAGGTGGCTGCTGCCCACAGCTGCTGTTTACTTTTCTAGGTCTTCACAGAGCTAAGGCCTAGGAAAGTTTCTTCCTGCGCACTTTGAAGGATTCACAGGGAGGAAAAGTGGCGGCGTGGCCAGCAGCTGAGGACAGGAAGGCACTGGTGTGTCCACGGGCGACGTGACCTATGACCTTTGCATGCTGACACCTGTGCCCCCTGTGCAGTGAGGGGGGAAGGGTGGGCAGAAGCAGGGTGGGCTGTGAGCCACAGCTCAAGGATAGGCATGGAAGACTTATTTTTACAGTTCAGTAAACTTGTTTAATCTGCTCAAATTTTTCCATTAAAAAACAGTTAAGTGGCTAGGCGTGGAGGCTCACTCCTGCTGGGCTATCACAGGACAAATACAAGTTTGAGGCTAGCCTGGACCACACAGTGAGACTATCTTAAAAAAAATAAATACAAATAAGATTTAGGTTAAGAGTGTAGGCTGGGTTGAGTATGGTGGCTCACGCCTGTAGTCCCAGCTACTCAGGAAGCAGAGGTAGGAAGATTGCAGTCTGAAGGTCAGCCAGGGCAAAGTGGGAGAACCTCTCTGAAAAACATGAAAAGCAGAAGAACTAAGGTCATAGAGGTAGAAAGACGCTCTTGCTAGCAAGGCCTTGAGTTCAAACCCCAACACTGGCAAAAAAAAGTCAGCTCAGGACGGAGTGCTTGCGTAGCTGGGCCCTGGGTCCCCGCCCTGGGTCCCCGCCCGGCCCTGCACATCACAGGAAATCTGACGGCTGTGCAGGTAAGGAAGCCGATTCCCACTACACGGCCGTCTCCACAGCGGCACCGTTATAACCATGGCCCCGCTGTGCGGCCGGCGCTGCCTGAGAGCCACACAAGCTCGATAGGAGGCGGGGAGAGCTGCCCTGGCACTGCTGGAGGGCTGTGCGGAGAGGAAGACAGCTGACGGCTGAAATGACTTAAATCAGACACACAGAGTGACTTAGAAAAGTTCTATTTACACAGCGAGGTGGGCAGAGCAGAGACCCCACCCCAGGACCGCTGGCATGGCTTTGGATGAACAGGATGGGGGGGGGGGGGGGCTGTGAACGAGAGCGAAGGACTGAAACTCGCCGCTGAGCTGAGAAGACGGTCCCCAGAAGCGGGTCCCCAGAAGCGGGACGCAGAATTCCCACAGAAAACAATCGCTACAAGGACTCAGCTTTCAGAGACACAACAGGTTGCCTGTCCTTTACAAATACAGAACAGAAAATCCCCCCGGCCCCTCGGACCGAACACCAGCCAATGTGTGTGACGTCACCGGAACAGGTCATGGCAGCGTGGTGCTGGTGACGGCTGAGGGCACACAGCCCCAGGCCGTGACAGGCCAGCACCGGCCGGGGTGGCGGAAGCACCGGGGCGAGGGTCTCCAGAGCCATGTTCCCGTGTCCCTTCTGCTCTTGATCCGTGCCCAGCACGTGGGCCGGCCCTCAATGTGAGGGAGCACTCCAGTGTCCGCGTGGAGCACATGCTCCCGTTCTGCTCAGCAGGGTCTGGGCGCAAAGCGCCGTGCTCGGCCCTCTGTCCCCAGTGCCGGCACGATTAAGGCATTTCCAGTCTCAGAGTCCCGCTCACTTTCTCAGAAACAACTTGGCAAAGTCGGCATTGGACATCTTGGGCGTCTCGGAGGCGGGGGCGGGGGCGCTGGGGCGCGGGGCCGGGCCGTTCTCCGCTGGAGGGGCCGCCGCGCTCGGGCGCTGCAGGGCGCGAGGCAGCAGGGCCAGCTGAGTCCTCCCCTTCCCGCGCCTGGAAAGCAAACACAGTGCACCCTGCTCACGCGAGGCTCCTGGCCCGAGCTCACCGAAAACAACCCAGACTTCTAAGAGCTGGCGTAGCTGGAGGCTCACGCCTGTAATCCTACCTACTCAGGAGACTGAGACCCAAGGATCCCAGTTCAAAGTCAGCCTGGGCAGAAAAGTCCATGAGACTCTTAGCTCCTATAAACTATCAAAAAGCTAGAAATGGAACTATGTATGGTTCAAGTGGTAGAGCACAAGCCTTGTGCAAAAAACCTCAGCAGCAGTGCCCCCAGGCCCCGAATTTAAGCAGAAAGGCAGGGAGGGGGAAAGTGGGTGTGTGGCTCAAGTGTTGCGCGCTGCCTAGCATGTGCAAGGAATTGGCTTCAATCCCCACCACCCCGAGAATAAAGAGTATAATAAAGAGTATATGGGTTGGGACGGTGGCTCAGTGGTAGAGTGCTTGCCTAGCATGCATGAAGCCCTGGGTTCGATTCCTCAGTACCATATAAACAGAAAAAGCCAGAAATGGCACTGTAGCTCAAGTCGTAGAGTGCTAGCCTTGAGCAAAAGTAGCTCAGGGACAGTGCCCAGGCCAAGTTCAAGCCCCAGGATTAGCAAAAAAAAAAAGTATATGTTTTATACATGTCTACCTATACTTTATATTATACATATACGTATACTATATATACGTGCATATGCATGCATAGTTTATGTACACGTGTATGTATATGTATAGATAAAGCATAGGTATGTATGTCTCAGGAACAATAAGCCTTAACCACCAGTCTCTCTCTGATTCTGCACCACTCTGCCTTGCTCCCCGTCCTGGCCAGGCCCTGAGTAGTCACGCAGGCAGACAGACAGGCCTGTCCTCCCTCAGCTTCAGGAAAAGGCCAGGCTGCTTTGCCATCGGTCCCCATCAACTGTGGCGGGACAAGCTCCAGCAAAAGCAACCAAGGCGATGACAATAATCACTGCGTAACGAGGTGTGACTTTAGGGAACTGTGGGTACGGGGGTGACCACTCCCTGGCCCCAGTGAACTAGGGGGAACTAACAGAGAGCAGGCCTGGCTCCCGTCCTAACCCCGCCCCACCCATCTGCAACTTACGCTCCGTAGATCTGCCTCAGCACCGTGGGGCCGTGGGACGCCTTCCCCACCTCCGGCTTCTCTGGAACTTTCCTCTGAGGGGGGTTGCTGATGGCCACCTTGATGGTGTTCTCTCGGATGGTCATGCCGTTCATCTTCATGACCGCCTGGGACGCCTGGGACTCGTTCTCATACTCCACATAGGCCAGGCCCTGAGAGGTAAGGGCAGACCCGCTCAGATGCCGCAGCCCGACGGCACACAGGCCGGGCCTCAACCACACTGAGAGTAATGCCGCTCCAAGTGAAGGCAAGGCTCTAAGCAGACAGAGGGTGAGGGAGGCAGGAGGTGGTGGGGGAGGCCCAGCCAGGAGGAGGCTGGGCCCGGCCTGCTGGAGGCATCCCGGGGGTCCCAGGCCCCGCCGTGGGACCCTGGCTCCTGTGTGGAGCCAGGTCAGATGACCCCGTCCAACAGGCCATGGGGGCCACCCCAGCGCTACCCAGCCCTGAGACCCTGTAGACAGCGACGCGGAGCGTGCCGATGCTGACCTTGGGCTTGCCGGCCCGGTTGGTGACCAGCCTGAGGTCCTTCACAGCGCCGTGCTCCTTGCAGATGTCTGCCAGCTCCTCCTTGGTGCAGGAGAAGGGCAGGCCCGAGATGAAGAGCTTGTGTTTCTCCAGGGCGGTGCTGTACCTGAACACCTGCAGGGGGCAGTATGGAGTGTGGGGCTCAGAGGCACCAGTGACTTGCCAACCCAGCCCTGCACGCGGCCCCGGGGCCCAGGAGAGCCTCCCAGCCTCCACCAGCCATGTCAATCCAAGGGCAAATGCAGGGCAGGCTAGGCTGTCCCTTGGTCGCCGGTACGTGACGTTATTCCCGAGTGTGATCACCCCGTGGCCTCCAGGAAAGGCAAGCTTCCTCCACACATCTACCTTAAAGTCGGGGTGCTTGCTCTTGTCCACGCAGGGGGACACAAACATGGGCCTCCCATCCACGCTGGTGCGGTCCAGTCGCAGGGCCTGCAGGGCGGCCGTCTCGTCGGGAAACTCCACGTAGCAGTACCCGCGGAAGTCCCCACGGTTGCTGAAGACGGGGCGCACCTCCACCACCTCCCCGCACGCCTCGAAGAGCGGCCTGAGCCTGGCAGCCGGCTCGTCCAGGGAGTAGGGCAGGTTGCTGACGAACACCGTGACGCTGTCCTTGCTGCTGTCATGGGCCACCCTGGGCAGGTCACGCCGCGCAGCGACCGCCTTCTCCTTCTGCTTTGCTGGAGGACCCACGTCTCCGGCCGCCCATTTCCCCGACTTCCCTGCTTCTCCTTCCGCATGCGGCGGCACGCTGTCCTCCACCCTCCGGCGCTTGGAGGGCTGCTCGGCTCCGCCTCGAAAGAAGCAGCAAGTGAGGTGTGAGTGCTCACGGCGGCTCAGGGGCCCGCCCTGCACACACTGGACAGCGCGGGCTCTGCCCTCTCTCACGGCCCGCCTCACCTGTCCCACGACTTCCTGTGTGTGGAGGGGCCACAGGAAGGGAAGTGGTAGCACAGACCTGCACTGTCCGCCCACTCAACCATGAGAAAGGTCAGAGGGCCCCAAACGTGGGTGGACATAGCACAGGATCCATCTCCCTCTGCCCTGCAGTGGCTCCCGCCAGCCAGGGCGGTGGACAGGCTCCATGGAGTCCGTCTGTTTACTACAACACTCAATACTATCCCGTGACCTCCAAGAATCTTAACCTGCTCTTCTCCAGCCTGCCTCCCGAAGCTTCCACCAGTGGCAGCATCCTGCAGAGCGTCACCCCTCCGTTCCCATCTAGTCGAAGCCCTCCGGCTGCACCAAGAGTCCAGGACCAGGCCCAGCTGGCCCGTGTCCCCCGCGCCAGCCACCTCCCCGCTGCCCCGTCCCTCTCCTGGGCAGCTGAGCGCACATCCGACGCT